TGCTGTATGCTTATAGGTGGGGATGTTTGCCTGGCCTGTGGGTGTATGGCACTCCTGAGCTGATTTTTAGCTCCTGCAGAGCTCTCAGCTCCAGGCTAGATGGGAGGCCTTTATGTGCCCGGACATAAGGTGATGTTTGTTGACAGCTCCTGATAAGGCTGTGGCTTACTGATGGGCCCCTGTGGAATGGGCTGCCTTGAATTGTGGCAGCTTTCTTGCCTCTGTGCAAGGCCCGGTTCCTTCTTGCAGGAGTTCAAAACACAGTTGCCTGCCTAAAAACTGGTAGAACAGCACCGTTTATTGTGGCATGGTACCACATCCCAGACCAGTTGGGTCAATGCCTAGGATGTAACATAAAACATGCATGCACTGTTTATGACAGCAGTGAGGTGATTGCAGACTGAGAACTTATTTCTACTCTCATTAGGCCTTGTAGATAGATATAATCAGGCTTCAACGGGAAGAGTGGAGTTTTCTTCTAAATGGAGTGGGGTTTTCTTGGTAGAGATAGGGGGTTTTGAGTTTGTGTGGGGTTTTTTTAATGAAAAAACACTCAAGAAGCAAGAGCCGAGGCTCACCCCGCACGTGTCCATGGAAGCAGCTTCGATACAAATATACAAATGGGTGATGGGGTAACTGCAAAAGCAAAATTAATTAAACTTGAATGTTGATTTATTAGTGTCAAACTATTTATTACAATGTGGAAAGGGGAAAACATGTAAAACAGTAAAATCAGTCATTAGGTAAATACCAGCATAGATCAGATTTTAAGAGAGCTTTGTTAGTGTAAACCAAGTGTGGATTGTGGTCTTCAAATTTTTTTCAAGTAAAGATCTTTTTTCCATGTTACCTGAAGTACGGAAAAGGTGTAAGTGGAAGATGATTGGCCTTTGCATGATGGGAGGCACTGAAATTTTCCAGGATGACTTTTTCTACAAAGTTACAAATTAATATTTGGGTTACTAGGTCAGTAGTATAGCATAAAAAAGTTATCTGTGCTTCTGTAAAACACCTGTGTCTCAAAGTTCCTAAAAGGCAGCCTACATGCCTACTTTAAGAAAAAGTAAACAAAGAATGAGGGGAAAAAAAAAAATTAACTTGGCAAGAGTCAAAGTCTTGTTAAGATACATGGCAGGAAAGCAGATACAAAATTGGAGGGAGAAGAAAGTAAAGAATATATTTAAAATGTTATTTTCTCCCCTTTCCAGTTATGTGCTGTCTTTTGTTATTCATATGCACTTGTTAAACTTGCATGTAAATGATTGATTTACTCAGTGGACTCATTGTAATAAATTGTTTGATGTGCTATCTTGAAAAAAAATCTTTTGAAATTCTGTCTCTTTTCTTTGTCTGCTCACCCTGTGGCATTTAATATCTTGTTTCCCGTCTGTCTGATTCCATCATAAGCTTAGCATAACTTTTAAGACCTTAATGCAGCTCCCTTTGTTCTGGTTTAAGTAAGTAGGTAACTTAAATATGTAATTTGGCCATCAACAGCAATATCAGAAAGGAATGTTGAAGCATGTGTTCCCTTTATTGATGTGAAATGAAGAAATGCTTATCTGTAGATATTTGATAATACATATTTACAGTGCATAGATCTGTCTCTGCAAGCAAATGAATACAGACATTTCTGTATCATTGTGTTACATCTGCTTTAATGTTACAAGTCCAGAAGTTACTTTTAAGGATTAGTTCTAAATTAAAGGAGAAAAGAAATGGATCTATAAGGTTTCAGAAAAACAGTTTTAAATATAGATTTAAAAATACTTAACTGAATATGTAATACAGATGTAGCCAAACTTCATTTTGAGAGTGAGTTTGTACTATAGATATTCCTACTGCAATAAGTCTCTAGCAGTGAGGTCCTAACTGAGTCTTGAATTACAGGGGCATTTGGAGAAATAGATTCATTTTAAGAAGAGTTTTTCTAGGGGATATGTCTGTAGAAATGTTCAGTTGGAATATCTTTTTTTTATGCTTATAGTTCAGCAGTTTGCTTAACAACCGTAAGGTATAGGTCGATAAATCTTTTGTGTTCTTTATTAAGCACATAAAGTGTATATGCTTCAAAGTTGTGTGTGTGTGTTGGTGGTGTGTTGTTTTTTTTTTTCCCCCCCGATGGGGGATAGTGCGTTTTTAGTGAGAGTAAATCTTTGGAGAGACCAGAGAGAATGAACTGAGACAGGAAGAGAGGAAAGGGAAATGCACGATAGTCTTGGGACTGTCTATAACAATTTCATGGGAGAGTAGAAAGAGTCGTCTTTTAAGGCTGCTGAATTAATCAGAGAGTTGTTATGAAAAGTGGACAGCCACAGAATTCACTCAACTAAGTGTGTTTATACATAAAACACAAAGCACTGAAATACATACTTTGATGTGGTCAATGTAAGTTTATTTGGATGATGACAATGATGCTACTACTAATAACAATAATTCTTTTTGGCTGACTGATTTGGCTATGAACACGGTACCCAACTCAGAGAAGGAAGTCAAAGGGCACTAAAAGCCTTTTTCCTTCATGATTTATTGAAAAAACAGTAATAAGTAAACCAGTTGCAGCAGGATACGTAGTCATATACATTCAAGAAAGTGATCGCTACATTGACTGAAACAGAATTATTCTTCAGATTAAGTATCATGAGAACTGAGGCCTTCATACAGTGTAAGCAGCTTCTAGTTCCAAAATTGCTGCCTTTACTAAGCTTCTGACTTCCCTGGCATTTGCTGTCTATTGCTACTGAAACAAGTTGTTGAGCAGAAGCTTTAGTGGTGCTATTTCATATCTAGAGAGCATTGTGTTTTAATTCTTTTTTTCCCTGTTGTACTGTGAACAAGTGCTTTAGAGAAATCTAGACGTGTGTGTTTTCCACCACTAAAAGAATTATATTCATCTCATCAAGAAAGCTGAAGCAATTTGCAACACTATGTTAAAAAGGTTATTTTTAAGGATAGAAGTTTTCTTGTGAAACTTCTAAAGAATTTTGTTTGTGAAACTCATAGCTCTATTTCTACAGCATAAAATATAGGTAAATAAATTGAATGAAATCTTGAATTTTATTCAATAGTTTGGTATAGCGTTTCCTTCCCGGAGTGTGAAAAGTTAAATGCATGTATTAGAGGGCATTCTTGTGTCTTTAAAAGTAAAAGCCTGTTGTAGTGGATGCATCTCACCTGTCAGTGAAATTTGTGTGGAGTACAGAAGCTGTATAGTGTTACACACAAATACAGAAGAATATCTAATGATTAATATTTCATCATCATTGTATAGCCATTTGCTGTGGTAGAAAAAATATCTCTATGGAGTGTGACCCCACATTGAAAAATGACAGGAATGATGGATCTAGGGTATGTGTTGTTAACAGCTAACACACTTTTGTGACTCATTGAACTTTCTCTGTAATAAGTGTTTTTCATTCTATGCTGCTGAGGAAAGTTGCAAACCAGAAGAAAAAATCCTTTCTACATACTCCCAGATCCATTTCCTTAATTGCTGAGATTTTCCTGGGGATTGAAGGACAGACTAGATAGTTGTTCAACATTTTAGCTGAATGAAGTGACACTGGGCTATAATAAGCTGCAGCTGAAATCCAACTACAAAGTATTTTCCAACAGTACATGGGGAAATAAGAATTATATATGTAGTTAGTATATATGGATATAGTTTTTTGGTAGCAGTTAGATTCTTATTTGCTGTATATTTTCCTAGGTTTTCTGCTGGACTAAATCACTGTATCCATGATTTACCGTTAAATATTTGCTTTAAATGTGAGAGTAACACATTCACATTGCCTTTTGGACATATATGAAGAAAGGAGAAAAAAATGAAATGGCATTCTTTTTCTTGAAATTCTGATACAATTTACGTATTGGAATGGGAATGGTGGACTCTGAATTAATTACTGCATGTTTTGATGTAGGTTGGACTGATTAGTAGGCACAGAATAGTGTAAACACTTGGATCATCATAGCAAATTTCTTCCATCTAGGGGAGAAATATGAAGAAAATAATACTTTTGTAAAAAAAGTGGTCACATGTCCTATTTAGGCAAGCAGTTGCACTTACTGGCACAACTTGTTAACAGGATAAAACAAATATATTGTGTCTGGTGAATTAGTGATAACCTTGCATGCTAACTATAATGCTTTGTTGCATTACTTGGCTTCAGATATAGTCATACGCTGTGTTCTCTCAAATAAAGAAGAAAAAAGAATCTGATTGTAACAGAACCACCGATTTTCATGCATTACTGCATCATAAATGTTCACTTCTTTTTCCTAAGATATATTTGCGCTTACAAAGTACGTATTTATCCCCTCAAATTATGGTTACTAAATTAGCATGCCATATTTTTCACAAAATTAATCTTTTTCCAATTTTGTCTGTCTGACTAAAAACTTGATAAATCTCTCCCTGTCTTCTAATGGCAGATGATTTATCAAGGCCTACCACTTAATTAATATTACAGAGCGTGTGGGGAGCTAAAGAATTCAGAATTATTTTCTGTAGCTTGTACATGTAAAATGAGAAGCATAAGGAGAAAACAGAAAGATAATCTTGTAACTGAGAAAAAGCCTTGTGATTTAAGCACAGGATTGAGGTTCAGGAAACGGTCAATTCTATCCTACAAATCTGTCATGCTTCCCATGAGGCTTTGGACAAGACACTGATTTTCTTTGCAGTTGACCGTTCTGCAAAATATTTATGATAAGTGTCTTATCTCTTAGAGTGGTTTAATGCTAGATTTGTCTAGCATTGCTAGTGTTATAGGTTACGTATTATTTTTTGAGTTTATTGAGCTGTACTTATACAAGTGCTTCCATGATATAGATGTAGCCTGAATTTTTTGTATGAAAAGGCATACATAATATGTAATACATAAAGGATACTTTTGTGACGTAAATATTTTATGTATCTGAAGCACATATAAATAGAAATCTCAGAAGTTGTCAATGAAGTTTCAACTTTCCTGAATACTTTACAACTTCTCCATTTCCAGGTTGCATGTCTTACTCATGTAGCAGCTAACTACCTTAATTGCAAAATTGAAGCAAAACGCTGGGGTACTGCTCATGGGAGTATTGTTCCGTATCAGGTAAGCAGAAAGCATTACCTTTTTTTTTTGCTCTTGGAATTCACAATTTTGTGTATTATGAGATTGAGAACTGACTTTTCCCATGACCTACTGTAGTCTGTAATGTGTCTGTGTCTAGGTAGGACAAGGTTCTGTTGTTCATTGTCACTTCTGCATTTTGTGTATTTCTTCATCAGCAGTAGATTAGTAACAGAACACTGAAATAGATCAAAGGTGTTTGCTGAAATTGGATGACTTTAAAGCTAGCATGATGACTTGATTGGTTTTCACCTGACAAAGAAACCTTTTTTAAGGGTTACCTGACTTCCATACCAGTTATAAACCAAAATATTTTGCCTCTGAATTTTGTTTTTTTTTATCTTGTGAGTCTACAAGAACAATCTAAATGACCATGAGGATCTGGGAGTTCAGCTTATTTGTAATTTTCTACTTATTTGTAATTTTCTATTGATTTTGCTACAAATCACTGTGGCTCAGTGAGACAACAGGTTGGCAAAAGGAATTAAGCAGACCTTAGGTCTCCCCAGTGGAATTCATAGTCTGCTACATCTAACAAAGGGTTGAAATTCCTTCAAATAACATGACCTTCATCATATAAACAAGCACAGGGAAAAAAAAAAAACCTGCAAATTGTATCTTACTTCTGGCTAGTATGGGAAACTCTCCCAGTAAATGAAGAAAGTTTCCTTCTTTTCTAGCCTGATCATTTTGTGTTCGTGCTAACTTATGAAGACTTGGGTATATATTTAATTTAAAAACTCCATTCTTTATTTCATAATTTTTGACACTTCTTGTCAAATAGTCATGTTTGCAACTAGGCAGGCAGAGCCTGGATTTCTTAATTTCTGGCAGGAGTCCGTTAAATCCTGAGGGGGACAGTTCCCATCATTTGTCTGGGAGAACTGCACCTAAAAACCACTCAGTTTCTTTACCATCTCCTTTCTTTTTAGAGAAAGCGGGAAAAAAATTGTCATTTTCCTAGTGGTGAAGATGGTGGTGATCGTAACATTAAAAGATTTGCTGCTCATGGCCATAGAAACTCTGAAGCAAAAACCTTCCACCAATATGCCTGACACTCCCACTGGCTTGTGTCACAGCCAGGCCTACTCAGGTCTAAAACCAAAATCAGTTGTTTTTGTAAGAGCTATATCTACTTGAGCTAGGAGACTTTTTCCAGTACATACCACTGCATAGTCAACTGTCTTGTTATGAATTAGCTAGAACAGACTGCAGATTATCTCAAGCTGATGGGGAGATGTTGTGGCTCTTTCTGCAAGGATGAGTTTGGCCCTGCAGTAGTCTTGTCTCGGGCATGATGCTGCTCTCTGGTTGGCACGGTGTAGCAGTATGGCTGTGCTTTCGAGAACTAGCTCTGCATGACCCAATATAACCAAGCATCCACTACTCAAGTGTTTACATTGTGCTATGTTTCTCTGATGTGACCTTTTGGTGCTACACTTTTGAACGTTGGTATGTTGAAAGTACAAAACAGATCTGAAGTGTCAGAAATTTGTATAAGCAAAACCAAAAACCTGACTAAACAAAGCATTTTATCTTCACTGTACTGTATTTGGCTGAATAACTGAAACTCACATTCTGTGTTCTTTTGCCTTTGTTTTTCCACAGTCAAAATGAAAAACAAAGTGTATATTGAGTATCCTTTGTTTCTTTGTATATCTACAGAGCTGTCTATTAAAAGAATTCAAGGAGATTGTTTTAGTTTTAGTCTGCTTTAATCTAGGTTAGTCAATATGTAAGTAACAATGTTTTTTTTTTAAAAAATCATATCTAGATTATGGTTCCTGTGTTCATCTGCTGTTTCTGTAGTAGATCTTAGAAATATTACCTCAATATTGTAAACAATATTATAAACAGTTTTAATCTGAATTTTCTTGTTCATAAACCAATAATTAGGGTGGATTTACTATGGGTGGAGTTGTGTGTGTGTGTATGGCTCATCCATTAACATTCCATCAGCTAGCGTGGATATAATTCTGATTGTAACTGTAGGTACATTATGCTTTCTAGAGTTTATTTTTCTCTTTACTAACATAAGCTATACTTAGACTGCAAAGCTCTTCAGAAACTTGAATTAACCCTCACTGTTGCTGTTGTACTGTTTTTTATGGTTGCTTGCGTAGCTCATTTGTAATGTAGTTTAGAACTGAACTCTGAAGCCTGACTTTCATCCCTCATCTTAGTTATTGAATATACTCTTTTGCTTACTGAACTAATATGTGACTATCACAGTGCTAATTTTTACAAAGAAACATGGTTTGTTTTTTTTTAGCTTCAAGATATTTTGTGCAATTCAGAAAATTGAATTTCTATATATTTCAGAATAAGTATGTGACATTGAACTGCTGTTGTTTCTTATATCCTCAACTTTATTTTGTTTTCATTTGCTGTATTTTCAGTTTTCACACGAGTAGTAAATTGTAACTTTGAAGTGATACAGAGCCTGCAATCCTGCTAAAAAGTGTCAGATTATGTTAAATCATAGAAGACTGGGTAAACAAGAGAGATCCTTTTATAGCTATTAAAAAGACAAAATCCAAATATTTTGTCATCTTTGTGTGACAGAAGCCTAATCAGAGTCATACTACGGCTAAATACTGACCAAAATTTAATAAAAAATGTCAAAAGCATCTTAAATATGTACATAAACAGTACTTTGGGTTACAGTTGTTACAGTAGGTGTTCTAGTGCTTTTTAACACAGCACTGTTATTCAGTGTATACTGAATGCTATTGTAGCTTTTATTTCATTGAGCTTCAGTTGAATAATTTTGTTCAGAGTATCTTTGCAAATGGTTCTATTTTTTTCTATTTACAAAACCAAAAGTAGCTTTGAGTCTATCTCTGTAATTTCAGCAAATTCCCTGTTGCTTCTTGACTGAAAAACTGTCAGTATAATTTACCCCGAATGTGTTCTCTAGATTGACCTTTGTTACTTTCCCTTGTATTTAAAAACATAAAAATTAAGCGTTAATGGGCAGCTGAGTTTTCGCTTTCCTCAAACTGCAAGATGTCTAGCAGCTTTGAAAATCCATTTCTGGTCTGAGCAACAATTTCTTAATACGAGATGTAAAGTTTGGTGTGCAAGGACTTTCACACTCTTTTGAGGTTTTTCTCATTTGCTGATAATGTACTGACTTTGTGGCATGGTCATCTGAAATGCCTGAGTTTTCAGGTCTGTGTGCTCATCACCAGAACCCAAAGGAAAGGATTTGAACTTCTTTTGAGTGTACAATATATTTCAGGGTTCCTGTAAAGCTGTCTGTAAAGGTTTGCCATAGCTTTTCAAGGGAGGTGAACTTCGTAATGTGCCACAAGATGAAGAACTCTAGATCCTAATCAACCAAAATAAGAAATAGATTTTTGAGTCCTGAACCCTTCATGAGAAATTATCTACTTTGAGCGTACCTGCTTTTTTATCAGAGCAATGTAGTTTGCATAGGTCGCTCCTGTGATAGTGCATGTAATCAGAACCCAGTTCGCTTCATTTCAAATGTTAAAACACACACCTTGAGTTCTGGGCTGTATCATAGATGTAATTAGTGCAATTTATTTTAAACAAGTTTCTATAATGAGACACCTTGTTTAGCTACAGCTGCTCCATGATTATCCAGAGGAAATTAGGGTCTTAAAAGCACCCAGTTTACATAATTTTGCTGAGAAGTGAAGTTATATTACTGTCTTTCGTTTGGGGTGATAAGGTTTTCCCTCATTCTTGTGGTTTCAGCAATGTAGCTGTCTTGCCTATACCACGGATGATGTCTAGACATTCACTTTTTCATCTTCCAATTGGCCCACTTGGGATGGGTATTCATTCTCCTGAGAAAGTCTGTTGTAACCTGTGTGTTCATGGGATGTTTCCAGTGGCAGCTTATCACCCTGCTGTCAGACATCAGCACTTCCAGAGGCAAACTTTCAGCAAAAGGTATAGGGCTGTTTACTCTGGGGCCATAATGAAAAACAGAGAAACCAAGCTCTTACAGATATCCCCACCCTGCCCCCGCAATAGATATGATATTATTTCTGTTTTGGTCCTAAGACTCATGGGGTCTTCTCAAGTATACTTCAATATATTTTCAGAATGTGCAAAGGGCACAACCATTCTGCACAGAAGTTGAAGCCACAAGACATGAAAGAAATTATTATTTTAACTAATTATCTTTTCTGTTGACTGACCTTTGCATTGTCATAACTCATCAGACCCAAGATTAATGTTTTTTTTTATAGTGCAACATCACTTAAATTATTTAAGCATCAACTTCTTGTTGTGCTAGGCATAAAATTTCCTCCATATGAGGAAACTGTCTCTGTGTCAAAGGCCTTGCAGTTGAAATGTGTTATGAAAATCAAAGTATATGCTTACAAGGAGGTGAAAGGTGTGAAGTAGTAGGAAGATGAGTATAGTCATAGATATAAATATCTCTGCATTATTTTTAGCATCTGCATCTCATTCTTTTTGCTTGTGGAATTTTATCCTGTCCGGGAGTCCTACAAAGAAAATCCCACTTGTCACATGCATCTCATCACAGGAGCAGGGAAATGCAGTAAGTTGTTACTTACACGATTAATCTGGCAGAGATGCTTTTCACACAAAGGCACAATGATGTGCACCAACTTTCCTAACTCAGCTCTGGAGAATCTCACAGCACTTTTCATTACTCTTTTTTTTTTTTTTTTCTTCCTTGCAGTGGCAAGGGAAACAGAATAAGGTAAATAATTCAGAAATTTCAAACTGCTTATTCTACACAAGACTGGTGATGTGTAGTCATTTTCTTTTCTGTCTTTATGTAGTTTTATTGGGATACTTCCACAGTTAATGTGTCTTGGAATCAAAATTGACAAAGAGTAGAACTCAGATTGTTTGTAAAATTTTTTGTGCATGAAACTCTCCTTAAACAAGTCTAAGATGGGTGTTATGGGAGAAAAATCTTTCTGCTCCGTAATGGCTCAATCTAGGAGAAGATGGAACTTATGCACAGGAAA